TGTTAAAGCCTTGATTAATGTCGCACATTAGTCTTGAAATCTATTTGGCTGGAGCACCACCAGTTGGGGCTGCCGAACGAGGGCGACTATTTCAGCTTCGCCACCTCCTACATCCGTGACAGCAGAGGGCAAACTCCAGGGTTTGTGGCACACACACAGTGCTTTGGTTTCAGACGTGGACGAAACCGAGACCACAGAGGTAAGGGCGTTTTTTTCATCTATATTAGATACACGCTCAGATTCATAAGCTTTGAAGGCTTTTAAAAACACTATATACAGGGTCAAAATGTACAAAGCGCCGCACATGGAGAATATCCACAAACCCTGTAGGTAAGCTAGCAATACTGCTGCACTCCAGTGGAAACACACTGCCATCCTTGTAAGATAGGAAAAGCCTTTTGTCCTGCCTTTCCCAGAGGCACACGCAGTGGACTTCTCTTAATTGCCCCTGAGGAGTTTCTGTCATGCACTTGAGCTGTGTTTGCGATAAGGACCTTAAATACCCTTCTGCTGGAAAAAGACCCACAGGCAGCGAGACAGTGCTGCTGCTGCCCCTGATCAGATCAATACATGCAGATGGAGCCAGTATAGAGACAGTGACACTACACTGTAAAAAGGCGCCGTCCTTCAGATGAGATGTAAAACCGAGGTCCTGACTCTCTGTGGTCATTAAAAATCCCAGGGTGTTTCTCAAAAAGAGTTGGGGTGTAACCCCAGTGTCCTGGCCAAATTTCCCCCCTGGCCTTTACCCATGAGGGTCTCTAATAACCCCCCTCTCTGAACTGGCTCCATCACTCTGCTCTCCTCCCCACTGAGAGCTGGTGTGTGGGGAGCGGACTGGAGCATCATCCAGGTGGGGGTACACACTGGTGGGGGTGGAGGGGATCCCCATGACCTGTCCAGCGCTGGTAGTGGGGTGTCCAGAAAAGAGCTGTATAAGAGTCAGGAATTCTTATTATTAGAGTCCATCGTCTATCACACTCAACCTGCAAACGGCTGCGCAATAATGGGGAGCACAGCAGCCTGGACTCCTGCAGCTTCTCTGCTTGGACCAGCAGCAAGAGGAGCAGCGACGGGATCCCTGGACACCTCCTTTTATATTCCAGTCATTCCTGCCCCGCCCCCCCACTCCAGGAAGGCGAGCGCTCGTGATTAATGTGTGCCGCCTCTGTGATAAAGAGATTGAACATGTGTGCTCAGCTGTAGCGTCGCATGACCCCTCGCGGCTCATTCTCACCCCTGATCGCACTCAAGCGCAGCGGGACTGCTTATCTCTCCACCGGCCCCCTCCCCCTGTCTCCGACGTCGGAGCACGCCCCTTCCCACGCCCCCTCCTCGACTTTCTAAGGATCTGGAGCGCCTTTTGAGTGCTTCCTCCGCGAAAAGAATTCAACGCCAATGGAACTGAAAGCCCAACACCAGCTGGGGGGATTCAGAAGGCTCCTCATGGAGAACAAGGTCATGCACGGTCTCTGTTAAGGCCGTTACCCTTTTTTGCAGAAGTCTGGAGGGTGTCTCCAGGTCGGGAATCTGACATTTTTCCAACTGGGAAAAGACTGCTGTGCAGATCATAAATCCACTGCCCCGGGCTGTAGGGGCTCATCCTGGACTGGGACCCTGG